TCTCGGTGACCAGACCGGAGTGGGTTACTGACCTGACTCTCTAGTTGGCAATTTGGGGAGTCCACATCCATTCCACCTGCTCCCGCAGATTCCTATTGTAACAACAGAAGGCAAGAGTCATGCAACAGATCATATATTAAGGAAATCAACGCATATTTATATATTTCATGTACATCACTATGGTTATTTAAACAAACAAACACAGTCTTCAGATTGGTTGTTTCTCACGTAAAGTTAATCTTTCATCTATTTGTGACTGTTTCTTGAATGTCAAATCCTCTATATGTTAACTGCATCCGCCTACGCAAAGTCTGCTGTGGTCGGTTTTGAATCAATCTTTGTTCACATTTTCTCACGACAAATCTTGGGAACGTAAATATTGACGTAAATTACTGTCTACCAATTTGGCTAGTAGACAGCTCTCACCACACTATCACTTCCATACCATATCTTCTCATTTCTTTGGCAACTTGGGCAGCCGTCGTATCCTTGTACATTGTGCTAACATTCCACGTACACACCCTTATTTTTGCTTACATCGGTAGAAGACACATCGGTTGACTGACTGGCTTCCCGAGGGTTTTCACCAGCTCGCGTTGTTTCGTCTCTCCGAGGGCAGTGGAGAATACGTTTGTTTTTTATGTTTTTAGTATTGTGCACTGAAGTTTCTGTAGCAGGTTGATTGATTTTGCGGGTTGGGTTTGCTAACCCCACACCCAACCCTCCTTCTTTTCCTGAACTTTGAACCGCCTAAAAAACTAGCAAACTTTTTACCTAGCTAAGGCTTCTGAGATACGTGATTCATATAAATCCTTATGATCCTGTTGAATCAAATGCACATTCATTTTTATGTTCTAGGTTTATGGTCCTAAAGTACATTTCACGCAACGTTTCGAATTTCAAGTACAATACTTTAAAGTGAAACGTAATGGAAAAGAATTAAGCTAGGGGATACATTCATTGAAGTCTATACTTCTGGAATCCTATTAAATTTGAACTATGTTATCAGTTCCATGAAGACTTTTGGGTCTTCTCAGAATTTCGCGTAAATTTAGGACACTTCGAATGATACGCATATCGATTTCCAGAGAGTAAGCAAACCAGACTGAGGGAGATTTGAATAACGAGCTCATTGATCCACAGGTCGAGACAACAGTAATTGAAAGACAAACATGAAATATTCTTTTATTGAATGCTACAAGTAGAACTAAAGCAATACCATTCTCACTAAAAATGAATTCCTACTCCTTTAAATGCCTAGAAGTATTTAGAATTTGATTGGTGGATGGTGACTACCAGTGGAATCCAGGATGCGCATTTCGTCCCATTTGGAACTCGCCAATGGATGTACCTGCATTCCCCAGTGAGTGATGATGTTCCCACCGAGGATCGAACCCAGAGCCCATAGTTTCAAACGCCAAAGCGTTATCCACTAGACCACTTGGGCGACGAGAGCCACCCGAATGCCTAGAAGTATTGATGATAAAGTCGTAACAGATAATAAACAGCCCCCTGGAGAGTATGGGAATGATAAACACAAAGTTTATTATCTGTGCTACTTAGAATGAATACAAAAATATTTGCGAGACAGTTTCATTTTAAACCCAAGGACGTTCATCCTACTTCCATTGAGTATGTCGGTGATAGGTAACAACAGACAACTTTTACGCTTATCGCAAAAACAGGTAGTGAAAGGTAAATGATAGGTTAAACAATCTCCGAGGAAAGTGGAGCTCTATTTAACTCTCAGGATAGACGACTGGAAAGTTGGAAGAAGTATTTTGAGGAGCAATCTGATTGGTTTACAGCCACGCTTAATTTACCCAACACCTACCTGACATGATGCCGACAACGGTTCCCCCTCTGTAACTGCGGTTACAAAGGTCATCTCTAATTTGAAACGAGGGAAGCAGCAGGACCTGGTGGGATTACCCCACCAGAAGTGCTTAAGGACGGTGGTGGCTAAGTGCTGTCTGGGAATTTTCATTTTTCGACAGATTTGAGAACAGAGGCACACTTGCATTATTTCTTGATCCGAAGGCAGCTTTCAACCCTGTTGACCAAGAGGTGTCGTGGTAGTGATTAGCTGAGAAGAGAATGCTGACACAATATATCACGTCACTCAAGGCACTCTACTCTAACCCATGAAAGGGCTAACGGAGAGTTATCATCTGATGACTACCAGTTTTGTCTGTCAGAGATGCCCAGTCTCCATTTGCTTCATCATAGATGTGGTAATGGAATCACCCCTAACTGATTTCAGCGACTTAGGGAGCGGTTTGTTACCAGGGAATAGTCTTGTTGACTTTGAATATGAGGATGATATTGTCCTCCCTCTTAGGTGAAGACGCTGGTAAAATGCAGTCTACTGAGCATCTTGAGAAGCTGTCTTAGAATGGTTGGCATGTCATTAGCTCCTGTCAGATGTAAGATGATGCTACAGGACTGGACTACATCCACTCCTAGCTTGAAAATAGTGTTGACCACTTCATTTATTTGGGAGGTTGCATCAGCCGTAACGGGCTGATCGCTGAAGAAATCTCAGCAAGGATACAAAAGACTCGTGTGGCATTTGCCAACTGACATCATCTCTGGCGTAGACATGATATCCGGCTATCGATCAAAGGATGTCTGTACTTCTCAGTGGTTAGTGTGGTGCTCCTTTTAGCTCTCTTCTATCATTGGTGTCTGCGTTCTATCTCCTATGTTAACTGGTGAATAATATTGAGGTCAAGAGTCGAGTTTTAGGTAAGGAGAGAGAATCTATGCATGAAGTTGTGAAGCTACATAGATTGACGGGTAATGTTAGCTGACATAGGATCAGGTTGGAAAAGACCTAGTGTTGGTCAAACCAAAACATGGCATCAGTCCATAAAATCTTAAGCAGTTAGTTCGAGCCATGCAGGGAGGTGTAAACAGCCTGGTCGGGGTCCTCGGGATTGTAAAAACCAAATGCTCAAGCATTGAAACACTGTCATGAGGTATATGAATGTCACTGGTACCGCTTCTCAAACCACGTAAATGGCTATAAACCGTTGTTCTTTGTAAATGAACTTTATAGTGTCCCCAACGTCATAGTGATATGCCAACCAAAGCTGCTATATACACTAGGAAACATGATTCAGTTTCAGTAAAAGACAGCTGAGTTTCACCAAGGATTAATATATCGGTTGAAGGTTTCACATGAAAAAATGCCTTCCTCTAGGTAACAATAACCGGAACTATGAATATTTCCAACCACTTTAAAATACGCCATCCATTACTATGTTTAAAATGATTGTTGAGTTTATCACGTTCCTGACCTCTCCCATATTTTTAAAACGTTTTAATCACCTATGAAGAGTAAATAATCACAAAAAGATTAATAAGAATGTTCTGAAGTCTGGATCCATAAGACCTCCTGTTCGTTTCAATATTCGTTCACTGGGAAAAGTGCACTTTTGGAGATTTAAAGAACCTTCAGCTTTGTAGTTTAGGAATTTCTACGATAGTGAAGGCGAATATTTATTCAGTGGAATTTTAACATGAACACTGAATGCTGACAGTGTATACCAAATCTCAGTGGATTCTATATAAAAAGCCTGTACTCAGATAAGCAATAACGATTTTATTTATTGCATTCTACAAATCAATAAATTGTTGCGAAGAATAGAGAATAATTGTTACCTAACAACATTAAGAAATCTATGAGCATAAGGGTTGAAAATTGACAGTTACGTTTTAAACGCAACAATCACAATCGGGTACAAGACACTAAAAAAGAGGTATATATATAGGCATAAAGACGTAAGATATATAAAATGAATTGAGATGGGTGGTTAGATAGAGAGTATAACAGAATCACTGAAGGTATTCTTTGGACAAAATGACTTACTAATGCAAGATATGTCTTCGAAATGAGACTGGATTAGACATCTTGGATAAGTTTTTAGACAATTATGTATATATATATATATATATATATATATATATATATATACGGTGGAATAAGAATTAATACAATTAACTAGAAATCATAGAGTGAATAAAACGGAGTAAACGTATATAAGATGAAAATTTACCACTTATTAACGACAATTATAATACGAAAATTCATTATAAATGCAGTGAAACAAAGAAGAAAAACAACCAGACAGATACATATAAGGAAATCCCAACAGGTAGTACATTAATTGACACACTGAAGAAAACCAAAAGTATACTGACAGAGGTTTTGGTTCAAGTAGAAAAGAAGGAAACACTCCACTTTTTGAATGATATCCCATAATAAATTCATGTGACTATATACAAAACATAACACCAACGCTTTAATGTGTAAATAAACAGGACAGTGATAGCATTCGCTAAGATTCCTGGGACAAAGGATGAGTGGAGAATGGTTGCATAAGTGTATATATATATATATGTTTATGCACCACCACAGGTTAAGATCATTATGGCTGGCATAACTGCAGTCAAATGATTGAGTACATATATATAAACTACTTAAATAAACTAAAATGTTTAGATAATAATAATAATAATAATATAAACAATGTTATTCATTGTAAATGCGGTCAGTTGGACAAAATTAAACGTGTTAGAATGTAGACAACTCATTAATTAATACGAGTGAGTAAGAATAATTGTTATACTAAACAGGTGAGGAGTCAAAACAAATGATAAGAAATTATTCATACAGAGGGGGAAATGAGGAAATTTTGTGCATCTTGTAATCAACCATCCAGTGAATATATATATATATATATCGAATGCTATCATCTCACAATATCAAAGGATGATCAAGAAAAATAGAACTGCATTGCATAAGAATAAGGATAAGGATAAAAGTAATGATAGCATTAGCACTAACATTAATAATAATAATAATAACAATAATAATAGTAAATGAGAATGAATAAGTAGTAAAAACAAATAACCAGTTGAATTCATATTGTTAATAAAGATAGAAAATACACTGCGGCAAATATTCCACATCAAAGCCGTTTTCAGATCATGAGGAAGAAACATTTAGAATTGAATGTTGCATAATGGTTGAGGAATGTGGTCATTTTTTATCGTTGAGATGTGAAAATAACTTCGTACAGATTTGCACGTTTGTCTCCAGAACCAGTAACTACAAATTTATCATCCAAAGATATGTCACACGTTAAAACTGACGCAGCCTCCTTTGTCTATAAAAGATATATAAAATGGTTCATTTAGATAAAACCATAAAATAATGAAAATTCCACCCATTAATAAATTGTAATAAGTCCGCTACATGTTCCAGGTAACTTAGTGATGACTGGACAACACATACACAATGTCAAGGCCATAAACCTCAGTAATAGCATAGTTATTTGAGACGAAAAGATCCGCACTAATACGATCAGTTGTCACCAGACGACGTTTTCATGTAAAGGCAGCACTTATGCTTGAATGAAACAGAGTTTTGATACTCTTACGTTCAATTTTCTCTAAAGAAATGAACTTTCAGCAGGAAATTCGAGATGCATAAGTGTCTGTAAACTGATACGTTACTGAACTACATGCTTGAGTCAACGATCCATAGCATCACATAAAATATCCTAACAGTGACCAACCAGCTACGTGATATACAACACAGGCTCTTGTCAAGATTTCACTGCATTGGTTCAATTAATTCATTAATACGAAGCTATCGGATACCGACCAATTGACACATAAAGAATGCTTATTGATCAAAACTCCACAGTTACTACAGTTTGTGTTTGGCTACGAAGAACTATTTCGTTTACAGATGAACCTAATAATATACATCTTTAAACAATACAGCCATTAAGCTGGAGCAATAATAACTCATAAGATGCATTATTTATTCCTTTACGTTTCCAGTGGAACAAAGGGTTTCAAGCTAGAGGCTTGAAATTTCGGTAGCAGCGGTGTTTTATTTTTTACGGGATGGGGTTACTGGTCTTATGCCCAACCTCCCCTCTTTACCAATCTTATTACAGGTTTAGCGACGTGAAGGAGTGCGTCAGCCAGGCATCGAACCCAGGATCATATGCATGATCGGCGAGCATTCTACCGCTGTGTCACCGACGCACCATAAGATGCATACCAGTTTGTAAACACCCAACAGAAAACAGGAGTCAGTGGTGAGGTTTGCACGATGTATCACACTGTAGTCACTCTTTAGAAAAGCATACATAAAATAAGAGGAGAGAAACACAAGGATACTACGATTAACAAAATTTAACCGAGAAACAATGATGTTCTGATTTTAAAACCACAAGGTGTGGATGCATGTATACTACTGGGGACAATTTTCAGATATGTCAATAATACAAAACATAATATCAAATATACAGTCCTAGTGAAATCAGATACCTCCAGTAGACAGGCACCATATGGAGTGCGCCATGCATTGACTTGATGATCTTTTCCTGTTGTAAGGAACCAGTCTGCATGATGTGCAAACCTTAAAGCGAGAACACAACTTTCATGATGAGTCAGACGAAAATGTTGAGGTTGGTTAGGAGCAGTAGGATGAGGTATAGGGGAAGGATCACCACTACCACTCCCACATTCATCACGTGACATATTGTAATTGAGGGATAATGCTGAAACAGGTGGCCCATCTGGTCCGATAGCCAATACTTCTACTTCGGATGACTCTAAACCCACGGCCAACCAACTTTCAGTTGACGATAATTTAGTACTTCCACTGACGAATGACTGCGGACTGGCTGCATCTCGGTTACCTCCCCCAGCACCACCGCCGCTAGAAGTAGACTCTCCATCCACTGACACTGGAGACACAGACTCAGCTTGTCGACCACTAGAAGTTATATGTGAAGATAAACCAAGTGAAAAGACTTGTGATTTGAACTCAATGTGATAGACATCCCGTGAAGGCTAAAAAAGAAACAAAGTAAAATTGAAGACTATTAGTAACTGCAAATTCAGATAAAAAGTATTTTGAAGTATGAAGAATATTAGGTTAACTATGCACTTTAGAATAGTGCAAAAGTAGGAAGTCTAAATAAAACATGTGTGTTAACCGCACTCCGCATTAACAGTTTGCAAATCCATACTTTCTCGAAACAAAGGAGTTAGAGTAGAGTTAAAACCCAGAAGAGATATTTTATGTGCTAGGAAGATCGGGACTCTTGTTCGGGAGCTACCGGCGAAAAGTTGAATGATTAGGAGAATAAGTGATAAGTATGAATGATAAGGAACAGTGTCTAATATTCAATTCAACTTATAATTATGAATCCGCGGGAGAAAAAAAAGTCAGAAAATTTTTATATCCCGGTATCTTTGATTGTGTCTGGACACACGCAAATAAAAGACTATAAGACCGTTGCTGAGTAGTAGTGAATACCAAGTTTTACATTCTCTGTAAACTCCTGAATATATACACTCATGCACTCGTGGGTAAACACATATCTTAGAACCATTTGTTTTCATGTAGAAATTTGCAGATAACATAAACAAAAAAATAAAAATGTAAATACAAAACGGACAAATGAGAAATTCGATTCTGAATTAGTGTCTTTTAGTTGTGAAAAAAATTTGATTTTGCCAACGGCAACATATATACATAGTTGTCCATGTTGGCAACCAGAGACACTCACTCAGCAGACAGGCAACAACGATTATGCATGTAAACACAACAGTAAGGGCGAGGGGAGGACATATACATCATTTGAATGATCATACATATGAAATTCAGTGAGGTAGATTTAAACGACACAGTATAATTGCTGGAAGATTCCGGAGTAATATCGTACAGGGGGTGAAGGTGTAATGACAAGAAATAAAATGATCTCTGAAGAAATTAAATTTCTGTTTACCCTCTCTGTGTGTGTGTGTGTGTGTGTGTGTCAAAACAGTCAGCATAACATCTACAAATAACATGTCTCTGTATGAATACACTGGTTATAGCTAGCAGGTTCAAGATTCACCCTAAGCTGGTCAGGAAAATAAAAAGACAAGACGACAATCATTGAAGCTTAACAAACCGGTTTTCATTACAATTATGCTATCAATAAATATTAATGTTACCGTGTTCACAACACGCACAAATATAATCCTCTTCAGTGAAAGATAGAATATAATCTATGGGGAGTCTTTTTAATAGTTCCCAATTACTTAAAACGACAGAGAAAGAAAGGGTAGACATATTTTTATGATGAATTGATCAGAATTGAAGAGTGATTGGATGATTGAACAGAAGAAGAAAAGCAAAAAACACAATTAGTATCCTTTTTTTCATTCTCAAATAAAAACAAAACGAATCATTTACGCAGACAAACACTTCAGCATTGAGGGAAGAAAAGTAAGGTAAATAAGACAATCCAGGAGAAAGGGACAACGATCGATCGACAAATAGATAAAAAATAAGTTTACAAGCCGTTCAAATTAACGTTAACTAACTAGATTAGCCCTAAGGAAAATAACACTTAATGAAATAAATTCCCATCACCTTTAATTTCTATTTTTATAAAAATGTTTTTAAATGCGAACAAAATGTCGTAAAAATGAAAAAATATGAGCCTGATTGTAATGAAAAGATAATAAGTTTTCTGCCTGTTTAAAATCTCATCAGATATGCACTTGACTAACGCAAGGCAGTCACAATTGTCAAGTGAAACAATCGTGTTCCGTGAAAATTATCTTTAGGTTAGTTTCATACGATAATATTTTGACTTAACTGTCTGCAGTTTATATCATCAGACTAATAAAAAATCACAGATTAACACAATTTAAATGATATCCACTGGCTTTAACTAACCTTTGGTTTTAGGTTATTAACAGCCTTTACAACTGTATGTACAGCTAGCTGGATACTGTGCCAGGCTTCGTCAGGATGAGTCTTGGTGTCAATCTCCGATACGCGTCTAGCAATTTCTTCCTTAAATAGACTCAGCGCTCTGATCAAGTTGGGGGCATAACAGCTTTATTCTGACAGTTTTTTATTTCCGTCCAGTTGTAAACAAAACGTGCACGGACCAGGGTGTGATCAGAGCTTATGCACGTGCTCCACAAAGGGTGGTCGACAATAGCTCATCGCTATGTGGTTTATTTAAGTCCATCGATGATTGGATGGTGGTCACTGGGTCACGCAATATCTTTGTGTTTGAAGTCAGTGCTGACCAAGAACAGATGATTATCCAAACAGAACTGTAGGAGAAAATCGTCGTTGTCGGTTCATCGGCAGGTAACTCCGTAGGTACCACCACTATACTTCTCAGTCTGGCATAACTTCTCTACTTGGGCATTGAAGTGGCCTGCTAAAACAATTACGTAGGAGAGTTTTGCTTTTCGCAGCAAACTAGACAGTTTTTGATAGACCTCATCCTTTATTTCGTTGGAACTGCAGCCGGTTGGGACGTAAGTGGAGATTATGAAAAGACATCGATGAGTAACGCAGTCTTTCCTTCCTCTAACGGATCTGTTCAGATGGACAGCACACATAAGACTATCCGTTGGAATCCAGTCAAATAGGGATTTTTCTGCCCTACCACCCAATCCTATCCATACTATGCGAGTCCTCACGAACTAACTAAAGAATCTCCCGACACCCGTAAGATGGATTTCGCAAACTCACCTAGTTAGTCAGGTAGGGTTAGGTGAATATTCACACATGCATGATGAGTGTCTGCAAAACCCAACATACATCCACGGCTCAAAATGCCACAGTTCTGGATAGCGATTTGTTGCCTGTTGTCAGATTTGGCGAAGGGGCATTGACGTTAAATGCTCCAATATGAAGTTGGCTTTACGAGACTATCAGGAGCGTTTTTCGGCTCCCATCGCTACTATCGGTCACAGGCTGAAGAGAAGATGGGAAACCAGCGTATAAAAAAGTATTAACAGTAGGAGGAAAGCAAGATGATGAAGGTGGGTGATGACCAGGAGAGCTTTGTTTGCTTTTGGAAGTGTGCGGGCGGTTGTTACTTCCCGACTGGCCACATCAAGGAAGTTGATTTTTTGTCAAGGCACCTGAAACAGAAGGAGAATTAGTTTGCCTGACCACAGAGCGTAGGGAACAACTGCTTGAGACCAGTCACACATGGTCTGTTTGAACTGGATTTTAGAGTTCTTCTTGTATTAGTAACTTACCGCAGGCTACGGATCCACTGTAGGTTAGGTCGGAATGTACAATTTCCGGGGTCGACCTTTCCTAACTTCCCTCTCCAGAGTGGCGAGGCAGCTGGTCATCTGAGAGAAACACCTCACTGCTATTATATTCCTGTTCCCCAGCCGTACAACGTTGCGCACAGACCCCCAGCACTGTGTAAACATCTTAAACTATGCCAGTAACTGCTTCCAGTCTAACCACTATCATTGAGATATGCAAGACCGACTACCACGTCGAGGTAGCAGCTAACGGTCGGTCCGCTAGTAGCTAGTTAATTAATATAGTATATAACTAAATATAATTTTTGGATGAACTTGAAGATAACAGCAGTATAATTAATGATGGGGAGTAAAAGTAAATAAAGTACGAATGAATATAGCGCAACAAAAAACAAGTCTACGGGTAAAGCGATTAACTACACGGGTTAATGAAATTATAGATATGTTCAAACCTTGACAGGTGGTCACAAGTTGAAAACTTTAATCAATGAAATAGAACAACAGTGAATATCTTCGAAGGATATTCCCAGCTACTACGTAGTGTAGACTCATTTCTCTAAATATTCACGATAAATAAAATCTAACGTACACTAATGAAAATGATCTTCACACTGACGATACTGCAAGTACCAAGCATAAACAGTCCTCTGGAATCCTTTCAATAATTTAACCATGAAAGCATACAAACACTCATCCCTCGTTCATAGTGGTTATTCAAGATGAAGATCATTCTCACAACAACGACTCATACAAAAAAACAATATGCAAATTTCTAATCTACTTACATTTCCACGGATATCCCAACATCGAACTTTATGGTCCAAACCACCAGTCCATAATCGATTACCATCTGGGGTAATTTCGACGCATGATGTACCATCAACATGTCCATGAAACTGATGAACGATACTTTGATTATGTACATCCCACACTGCGACCTGACCGTCTGAACAACAACTAAAAGCGGAAATGACACACAAACTTGAGTCACAATAAATAATAATGAGCAAACGAAACATAGGTACAGTGAAGATATTAATAACAATGCAGCAAAATACACAAATTCGCCATACTTTATAGCTCCCTAATATTATAGCCGGTTATAAGTTGAGAAAGAGGAGGGTTGGGTGTGGGGTTAGCAAACCCAACCCGCAAAATCAATCAACCTGCTACAGAAACGTCAGTGCACAATACTAAAAACATAAAAAACAAACGTATTCTCCACTGCCCTCGGAGAGACGAAACAACGCGAGCTGGTGAAAACCCTCGGGAAGCCAGTCAGTCAACCGATGTGTCTTCTACCGATGTAAGCAAAAATAAGGGTGTGTACGTGGAATGTTAGCACAATGTACAAGGGTACGACGGCTGCCCAAGTTGCCAAAGAAATGAGAAGATATGGTATGGAAGTGATAGTGTGGTGAGAGCTGTCTACTAGCCAAATTGGTAGACAGTAATTTACGTCAATATTTACGTTCCCAAGATTTGTCGTGAGAAAATGTGAACAAAGATTGATTCAAAACCGACCACAGCAGACTTTGCGTAGGCGGATGCAGTTAACATATAGAGGATTTGACATTCAAGAAACAGTCACAAATAGATGAAAGATTAACTTTACGTGAGAAACAACCAATCTGAAGACTGTGTTTGTTTGTTTAAATAACCATAGTGATGTACATGAAATATATAAATATGCGTTGATTTCCTTAATATATGATCTGTTGCATGACTCTTGCCTTCTGTTGTTACAATAGGAATCTGCGGGAGCAGGTGGAATGGATGTGGACTCCCCAAATTGCCAACTAGAGAGTCAGGTCAGTAACCCACTCCGGTCTGGTCACCGAGACGACAACCATGAACACACTGAGGCAGTGAGTGTGGCTATCATCATGATGTCACCAACACCAGCCAAAGTTATGATGCACTGGGAACCAATCTCCTCCTGCAGTGTTGTAATGACAGCACGATTCAACTCAAAAAGAAGGAAGTAGGGTTACAATTATGTAATGCTACGCGCCTGCGAAAGACGCAGAACAAGAGAAGAGAGATTTCTATTGACGTCTGCAGACATTAATGGATAACCTCCTGAATGGCGACGTCAAAATCCTGATGGATAGTGAGAATGCTAAGCTGGGGACAGATAATACGGGGGAGGGGGGCGAGAATTCATCATGGGTCGAGAGGCTCTCGGCGAAATGAATGATACGGAATCATGCTCTTCTCCACGCCAAGCAACATAATGAGTAGTGTCACCTTGAAGAGAACAAAGGATGCACTGAATGCACAACTCCTCCCCACCGGAACAAGCTCGACTCAGGAAATGCAGAAAGTCATGTGCGGATAAAATTGCAACTCTACGTATCATCTTCATCATAGAACAAAGCGTAGAATGCCAGTCAAACCTCTACCTCAATTTCATCGACTTTCGAAACGCCTCCGACAGCCTTGACCACAAAGTAATTTCGAGGCTACTTCAGCACTACGGAGTGCAGTGCCACAAGTCTTTATCAACCTCATTCAACAGCTGACTATATGACAATGGCATGTGTCAGGTGATGCACAACGGAAAATTCCACGATGCCTTCGAAGTGGATACAAGAGCACGTAAAACAAAACTGTCAACCACTATCACCGATGATATTCCTGATTTGATCGTGGCGGACTGGATGTTGTGGCAGACTGTGTGGAGCGATAAGACAGAAATAGGTTGGGTCGATAAGAATACTCTAGAAGATTTAGACTTCATAGACGATTTATGTCTAATGTCACACAAAACTCGAAGACTTGTAGGAGAAAACCAACAAGTTGGAAGAACAAGCAGTGAAGACAAGACTTCAAGTGGACATAGAGAGAACAGAGGTAATGAAGCTAACCAACCAACAGCAACAACAAACGGCACCAATCACTATCAACGAAATGAATTTGAAAGAGGTTATTTCCTTCACTATTCTAGGAGTCATCGTTTCAAATAAAGGCGGTACGGACGAAGATGTCTAAACCAGCCAGAATCGGAAAGGCAAAACAGACCTCCATCACTCTGACATCAGTTCGCGAATCTTCTGCACTCAGAGTAAAGAACGAAATTCGGATACCCAACACCAATCTTAAGTCAATTCTTCTATTTAGTTCAGAGAGGTACACCGTGCGTCACAAAGAGCATTTCCAACAGACCACTGCAGACTTTTATCAACAGCTGTCTACGCTGCATATTCAGGTTCAAATGGTCAGTCGGAAATAATCGGCAACAGAAAACTATGGGAAAAAGCCAACCAAGAGCCCCTTGCTCAACCAATATGTAGGAGAAAATGCAGTTGTACCGGGGACACACTGAGGAGACCGTCGAATGACATCGCGTGCGATGCAGATCATCGGTCGAGTGGAACCTGAATAGGAAACGAGGGTTGCGTTGTCCGATGGGGACGTGGAGAAGGTCGTGTGAGGAGGAGATCAGAGTCTACGGGCGATTGTAGAGCTAGCTACAGAGTACTGCAGAGAATAGGATAAAGTGGAAATGTTGTGTTTAAGCCTTATGTTCCACTCGGAACGCTATGCAAGAATAATAAAGGATACTTAATCACACAAGACGACATCTGTCTATTGCTGGTAGTAATGCAAAAGTACCGAATATATATATAATTCACTACATTATCTACCCGTTTCCAGTATTAAGGATATGTTAGTAAAATGATGAAATAGACATTCGAATATAAAAAGGTAATCTCAGACTACTATTTAAGAGTTACCTGTATGCTAGCTTCCCGTCTAAGGATAAAGCAAGTGCATAACATGCGGGTGCTTCAAAAGTTAATTCAGCTTTCCGTCGTCCTGGACCATTTAAATCCCATACAGTAAGTGCATTAGATTCACCACCAACTATGAGACCAGTGACATCCTAAAATAAAGTGAAAGGAAAAGTACAGTTTATAGAACCGAAGGATTTTATCGAACTATGTATGCGAATACAAACAGACAGCAGTCTCACCGGAAAAAGTTTGATGGATCTAACGTAACTGTCGTAACATAAACAGTCGAATGTGGCAAGTGGGGATATATCTCTATTTGCTAGTGGTGCATTTGCTGAACTAGCACTAATTGACGCAAGATCCCATAATTTGACGCTGCCTCGAGCACCAGTGTAAGCGAAGTGAGAGGGAATTGAGACAGCAGCATTTGAACCTGGAGAGCCAATATTTACACTGTCTGTATCACTCCCAGCGTTGCGAGATCCAAGATCAGAGGCAGCAAGAGAGGAAGCACGTCCTACTGGGCAGGGGCCCAAAGTAACAGCACAAACTACGTCACCATGAGGTAAACTGGCGAGGTGCTGAAGTCGACGAGGTAAACCCTGAGCAGTAGTTGCTCCAGGAGCAGAAGCCAATGCACATGGTCGAGTTTGTCCGTTAGGTAGTACAATGAATGAATATGCGCCTGGTCCAGACTGTGTGCTAGAATTAAAATGAATTAACAGAAAATACAGGGAAACATAAATTATATCACACGATTGCAATTTAAAGCACACTATCAAGACTGTCGTATTTACACAGAAAATACAAGAATCTGAACAGCATAAAATTTTTTTTTATTTTTTTTTATTTGATTTACAGCTTGATTCCACACCGTATTTTCAGTACAAGTATGGAATTTTCAGCATGGATATCGGTTGCCCAAATTCAGGCATACCATAGATATCGGGTGTGCGCCGGCAGGGAATCGAACCCCGGACCATGTGCATGGTCGGCGAGAGTCCTAACCACTGTGCCACCGACGGCTTTGATTTCGGTTGACTGGCTGATAAGCAACACTAGATGCTTTACTGTGCTGGTTAGATCTTACATATCTGCTTTGACATGATTTCTTCCTACGTAAATCCCCTAATTATTTGTTCGCTTAAATTCTAACCACTGGTTAGTGGAAGTTCAGCCCCCTTTGCCCACCACAATTTGGGAAAAAAGCAGAAATTTAAGTCTTAACACATACAATCTGAGATGTCACCTAAGATACCAACCTACTGCTTTTGAAACATTGGCAACTGCTATACAGTGTACTGGAAAACCATAGGACTTAGTCCCTAATCACATGATGAACATATCTAATGTACAATTATAGTGTCAGTGTAATACTTAAGTAGTAACTAGAATTATGTCTGAGCGTTAGATTTTCGAATAGGTAAACGTAAAATGCTACTCACTTTTTGGATGATTGCTTCCATCGAGTTAAAGATGAAACTTCAGATGTCTATAAAAATGAAAGCAAAAATCAAAATAAGAGTACCTCACAAAAACTAGTATATCATGTGATTGTAGTGTTTCAAATTTAATGAGTTGACTGTTAAATGTATCTTGCAAAACGATATGGAATAATACATTAATTTCAGATATAACGACATATCAAAAAACTCTTGTGTTTATTACAAAACTAATCATTCCGTTGAGTTTTATGCAACTCTGTTTAACAAATATACAATATGCCGTTTAGAAACATCATCTTTTAAATGTATCTAATACTACCAAGTTTTCCTGGCATGTATGATACAGTGAAACAGATGATTGACTACATTAAAATAGAACCCAGTGCAATTCATTCGTCGGATAAGTGGTAAACATAGTTATTACCACTGTGACAATAATATTTCAAAAATAAGCACCAATTCTTTACTACGGATAAGTCTGACACATATTTTTCAATTAGGAATTTTGACTTTTTGTACCCCGATCGAAGGGTAGACTGGATACAGAAATGTACTTTAACGGATATATTCTTTAGCAGTCGAATGTAACCATAGTTAGAGAGAACAATTCTAAGTAAAATCACCGATACGCAGAAGACAGAATTATTTTCGGCATACAGTAAGAATACTAAGTAATCCCTAGGAAACGTAGAGGACAAAGACAATAACAACAGTGATAATTTCAAACATTTGATTCCCTTGATAAATTTCGATAAAGAAAGAAAGACCATATTTGCAGCATAAAATAATATCATTCTATCTCAAAGGTACCCATCAGCTGCAAACTACATGGAATTACAATGGTTACAAAGTGACTATATTTCTTCTCTACTACCATTCAAACATTGAAGTATGTTATTATCATTATTTGTAACCATTGTAATTTCAGGTAGTTTCTAGCTAATAAGAACCTGTGAAATAGAGTGACATTTTATAATGCAAATTTGGTCTTCTTTTTATCGAAACAATAATAACAGATGACTGAAACTTAATCAATGACATCTCGTATTATTAAGAATAGTGAACTAACTGAATTTCTATAATACCTGCCTTGAAGAAAAAGTCTGTGACATTTCTAAACAACGACCACTAGAATACATTTAACAAATGAAACACAGTACTCGTTGAAGTGCTGGAAACAGTCCATAAATTTAAAGAACTTAAAAGTGTAGAACTAAATGAAGCAACTTTTTTTAAATAGCCGTAATGGTGATGGAAACCACACCTTTACTTAAAAAGAATATTAGTTTTCAAAAACCGATTATGAGGAAACAATAAGTTATCAACTAAAGGTCTAAATAATAAAGTTTTAGTAGAACAATTAAGAAAAATTATGTGTAAACAATTTTAAAATGAAATCGGAGCACAGTTGCAGTGAAAACATTTTGAGACTGCTAATTGTCATTTTACGGTCTGAGGTAATTTCAATGACCGTTTGTAGATATTGTTACAATTAACTGGATAATTTGAAATTTGATTTTCCATAATAGTAATAAGGAAGGGCAACACATTATGACTAACCTATACAATAAACTGTATGATGCATGGTATGGTTGTAATAAGCGAGTTATGAAATCCTATATTTCGTAAAACAATAAACACTTGCCTGAGATGAACGTCCAGAATTCACACTGCCCGAACCAACTGCAGGTGCGCTTGAAGTAGTTGGATAGGTACTACTGTGTCCAGAACCGAGCTGAGGACTGAGATCTATAAAGAGGAAATATAACAATTAAGATGTGAACTTCATTGGGATAATTCAGTAAGTTCAGTCAAAAAACCAGAAGTAATGTACAACAATTTAACTTGCTGAATTCTTGAACAATAGGAATTTTAGTACCGCAGAAATGATGAACAGGTATTTCCGTTCTAAAATTCCCTCACCAATAAATATATGATTTTGCACATTCACAATAAAACGGCAAGGAGAAAGATCTCGTTTACTGTGATTTTTCATCATTAAAAAAATCCAAACCTCGCTTTACCGCTGTTCTCATGATTTTTAAAGTTTACTGGATTTGAATAAATAGTTGAATGATGTTAAGCATAGAAAGTACTTTGACATCACATAATTAGGAAGTTTAAAGCCATTATGGGCTTATTATGACTTCAGAAAACCTTTCAATTTTTCTCCAGTACTTCATTTTACGCGTATCTGATTAAATTAGCTTGGTAATTTATTGACATCTACTATACTAACCAAGTAACAAATAACTGCCAATAATTCTCTTATTTCGATAGGTGATAAGTCACACATAACACAATACAAGAGACTTCATTCTATGAGTGTCGAGCAACACAGATATTGTGATATTGGACAACAGGAGAGTTAAGAACTAAACGCAATAAGTGTTGCAGCTACTATCAAAACACCCAAATGACACGTTAATCCCAAAAAAACTTACTAAGAGGTTGACGATTGCTCCCACTTCGACGACCACCACCCGAGGGATTTGAACCTCTTTCCTATATTACGAAAATACATAATGTGAGGCGAATATTTTGAAAGTAAAAATGAAAATAATATAATCAACAATATATCATGTAGTTATTTTTGATATTGATGCTGTGCCCGAAAAATTCAAAACAAGATTGCGACAATGAAGATTAATAGCTTGGACGAATGTTGCTGTATTCTCTTGGCTGAGCAGAAACTTACATAATCCTTCTAGACATCTTCAACCCCAACTTCATTTTGAGGGGAGGAAGTGACTGCTTCGCACTTAAACCTGACTTCCTCTTGGGTTATCTGAAATCACACAGCTGAGGGTAAAACAACACTGACAGCAAGTAAATTTGTACCGTAGAACAATATTACGACTTCTATGCACATGTAAGGAATGAGTATATGCTTATTTTTAACATCGAATTCAGTTAATTTTAAGTAAATACTACTTGAAATAATTTAAGTTGAAAACAACTTCGTACCGATTTGACGTAAGTGTTAAAACTCATTCCATATTCAAGGTATTCAGTGGGCCAAAAGTTCATAGGTTAACTCAATGATAATGCGACTTATTTATCCCACCCAGGTTTTCCATGTCGGAGACTTAGCCATACACACTCTGAGAGCTCAAAATGAAACAGGTGCAGCGGAATCCGGACATGGTATCTTTTGTCACAAAGTTAAGTGGTAGAGTTCACGAGCCACAACACAAGGGACCTTTAGTAGCCTACTATGATAGAACACTACTTTCTGACGAACAGAAATTTTTGAAACAATCCAAATCAATAACAATTGGGGTGACTGTGCACGTTTCAACAGGTGGAAAAAACCAACTGAGTAAGTATAACTTACCGAAACAGAACGCATATCATCATTTGTTCGCCAGTTACCATTTTCATGTCCACTTTCCTACAATATTAAGTATAAGATGAAAATCCTCTTGAAAGGTCTTGTAAGACAAATTAGTGACTGTGACATACACACCATATCACATTTTCAAGGTTGACTCATGAAGTTAAAACATAGCGACTATTCGTTTTCTTTTTATTAAACTACCTTCTGTCAAAAGGATATAAATTTAAATCAGCACTCCTGGTCTCCAGGACTCCAACCCTGCATCGTCAGAGTAACGCTGGTACATGGTTTAATTATGACAGTCAATAATATTTACCACTGAATACGAAATGAATCTACTACTTGCAGCACAGTTTCCAAAACTTAGACCTGCAGCTACAAAAAGCTAGGGAGAAGCTAATCAAACATACCCGATCTTCTTAAACTATTTTAACCATGCATTTGCTTATTTTTAAATTTAAGTTGCGTAAATGAATTCTAGTCTGCAAGTTGATGATACATTTTAAATATATTCATTTCTTATTAATACAATCACCATATCCACACGAAAGAAAAAAGAAGAGTTTGATGCATTCATCCAATTAGACTAAAACAATATCACTAATGTAATCAAACTAAACTCGAGGCATCTCAAAACACACAATCCAAGAGCCACACATTCTTTGCGTAAAACCATTTACGAACTAATTTGCTCACAATTACAACTGAAGAATGGGTTTTTCGAACAAATCAGATGACTAATGCTAGAATCACCAAGCGTGAAAATTAAGGTAGGAGGATCCACGAACAGACGTACCCATCCATCACACTTTTCAGCCACTGAAGTAAAACATCGGTTTTACACTGTACAGTAGCGAGAAATCTAGCCAATATGTAGATCACTTGATCTGAAACCATCATGTCTCTTATTAATAGAGTACGCACTTTTACAACCCTAATCAGAGAGCCATGTTATACCACAATTTCATTCTCCAAAACCTAACTAATAAAAAATAAACTTGAAGGCTGCGGTAAAGCTGTTTGACAATGTAGCGTAGTAACACAGAACTACTTTAAAACCCATTCCTTGATACAACCATAAGCAATAAACTGTGTTTGGAATGTCATCCAGAAAATAACGCTGAATCTGATATAAGTATAAAACTTGGGCACTGTGGTAGAGCATAACTCCATTATGGATATGATTTTATTTTGATAAATCACACAGTGTTGTACAGTAATATTAACTGATGACGTTTCGAGCATAAACTATTGCTCATAATCATATAATCATATCATATTGATATGATTATGAGCAATAGTTTATGCTCGAAACGTCATCAGTTAATATTACTGTACAACACTGTGTGATTTATCAAAATAAAATCTTATCCATAATGAAGTACCGCTGCATCTGGTATATCAAATAAACTAAATAATCATAAACCCTAGTGTCCAGCACTTTTGTGACTAAAATTCAGGATGATTAGTTTTCAACGTACACCATACGTCTGATTCTTTTACACGTGTGTTCTGTGAGGGTAATGGTAGTCATAAACCTTCAGTTACAACTATATTCAATCATCGATAAAAAGTTCTGTAGCCTGAACTAAGACTCAATTAGAATTTTAAGAAACATGAATAACATAAGGAAAGCAAGAAGTGATCAGTGAGGTCATGACGACTAGCGGCTACCATCAACGACGTTTGCTATGGTTATCTACACCCAAACTTTAACCTGTGTAATAGTAGCACCCGACCTGCAACTACTGCAAGATAGTCACAGAGTATCTTATCTAACAGAATCATGACATTCGCCTACTGTAAGTCAACGAAACGCTTCATGAGCATTACGTAAACAGTGAAGACCAGTAATAACCATCACTAGGTATTAGATGTTCAATGGAAGCAGTAATAACAAACACCATTGCTTTATACCACTGGCCATTGTCGCCATAGATAGAGACGTTTCACAATTTCTCATATTTTCGTGAATCAAATGAAGGCACAAAAACTGCTTTCATAAACTCTGACGAGCGACTCCAGATGTCTCCAACTGTGAGAATTTCCCGCATTTCAACAACATCCAAAATAAGAAAATAGCGTAATCAGCCGAAAAATTTTTCCTTTTGACGATTCATTTTCATAAGCTGTACAATCGTAATTATATTTAACAAAGAAATCTTTAGACCAATCAGATACTGGTCAACTTTATCCTCGAAAAGTGTATTACATAATGTAAGGTGTAAGAAGGGAAGACTAATTGTAAGTTAGAAAAGAGACAGAAGTTTGCAAGACGTAATAATTGTGAGATAATGACTAATTAATAAGCTCGTGTAGAATGGACAGGAACTAGTGGAAAGGCGACAGTGTTTTTACATAAAATATGTATGAAAAAGCAATGTTATTAATAAACAGTAATAGAGTGGTAATAAAATATGGATAATGGGGACAATAATGATAATAAAATTATGGTAGTAATAACAATAATAATAGTGAACTTACAAGATAAAAAAGAAGCAAAATCATTGTAAGAAATTTACCCTGGCCACGGTAGAGCGAGTGAATATAAGTAGCGCTTTGGAGTTCAGAGGTCCGGTTTCAGATCTCGAATAGCTAATGCTTCAGTTATGTACAGATGGCGTATACGAAGTCCCTTTGTACGCTATTGAAGGACTCTGCGTAGCACTGCAAAGCATTCATGCGGGGGTGCTCGATGTCCGGAGATGACAAGGTGTTCGAGGATGGAGCCGCTGCTATTCTTCTTTTCTCCTCTGGCTAACCAAGCTGGACAGTGTTCCAGAATACGTTTGTGGACTTGACTTTGTGTACGGCCGATATATTTTGCTCCACACGAACAATTAAATTGATAAATACACATTGAAGGGGCCGAAAGCGGTATCTTATCCTTACCGTTAGACTGGATTAACTGTCTGCTGGAGAATGTGATACGCAAGGTGGCTATTGGAAATGCCTTCTTCGGACATTTAGAAAGGCAGTTTCTGAGGATTTCTGCTGCGATGTCATCTTTGAATTTCAGGTTCATGAAGAGAGGTGAACTTCGCGAAGTGACTAGCTGATATCATTGAACCAGTTAGAATATATATGACAAAATATACCTTGGGTAATACGTTTGACTTCATCGACTCAGTGAAGGATGTCAAGGTGTTCGAAAGACAAATGCTCTCACTAGATGTCACCTCTCTATTCACAAGCATCCCCCTGACCGAAACAATATGCTTCATTGGTAACTACATGGAAACCAACAACCTAGAAGTTCACCTTCCCATAAACTACATGAAGGAACTACTTCTCAGATGTACGTTTAATATCCAGTTCAAATTCAATGAACAATCCTATGTACAGGAAGATGGTGTAGCCATGGGGTCTCCTCTTGGTCCACTCCTACCCAACTGCTTCATGGCGAGTCTCGAAAACAGCATCATCGATCGCTTGATAAGTCAACTGCACTTATACAGGAGATACGTAGGTGATATGTTCATAATTTGTGATGAAAAATCTGATTTAGATTATCTCCTCAAAGCCTTCAATGCAGCACACCCATCAATAAAATTCACCTTAGAACGTGAATCGAACAACGCATTTCCGTTCCTCGATGTACTACTTACCAGAAGACAAGGTTCTACTATCCAAAGATCGATATATCGCAAGCCAACATGGACGGGACAGTTTATCAACTTCCACAGCTTCGTCCCACTGACACGAAAGCGAAACCTAGTACGTACATTAAGTTCGAGGATTAGAAAAATCTGTTCGGAGGACATGATAGAGAAAAAATTAAATTTATTACGTGAAACCCTACTAAAGAACGGGTATCCACCAAGAGTCATAGACAAAAACATGAAAGAGAAGCCTCCGTCTCCAAACATCGCAACTGTTCCTAAGAAAACTCTCTTCATGAACCTGAAATTCAAAGATGACATCGCAGCAGAAATCCTCAGAAACTGCCTTTCTAAATGTCCGAAGAAGGCATTTCCAATAGCCACCTTGCGTTTCACATTCTCCAGCAGACAGTTAATCCAGTCTAACGGTAAGGATAAGATACCGCTTTCGGCCCCTTCAATGTGTATTTATCAATTTAATTGTTCGTGTGGAGCAAAATATATCGGCCGTACACAAAGTCAAGTCCACAAACGTATTCTGGAACACTGTCCAGCTTGGTTAGCCAGAGGAGAAAAGAAGAATAGCAGCGGCTCCATCCTCGAACACCTTGTCATCTCCGGACATCGAGCACCCCCGCATGAATGCTTTGCAGTGCTACGCAGAGTCCTTCAATAGCGTACAAAGGGACTTCGTATACGCCATCTGTACATAACTGAAGCATTAGCTATTCGAGATCTGAAACCGGACCTCTGAACTCCAAAGCGCTACTTATATTCACTCGCTCTACCGTGGCCAGGGTAAATTTCTTACAATGATTTTGCTTCTTTTTTATCTTGTAAGTTCACTATTATTATTGTTATTACTACCATAATTTTATTATCATTATTGTCCCCATTATCCATATTTTATTACCACTCTATTACTGTTTATTAATAACATTGCTTTTTCATACATATTTTATGTAAAAACACTGTCGCCTTTCCACTAGTTCCTGTCCATTCTACACGAGCTTATTAATTAGTCATTATCTCACAATTATTACGTCTTGCAAACTTCTGTCTCTTTTCTAACTTACAATTAGTCTTCCCTTCTTACACCTTACATTATGTAATACACTTTTCGAGGATAAAGTTGACCAGTATCTGATTGGTCTAAAGATTTCTTTGTTAAATATAATTACGATTGTACAGCTTATGAAAATGAATCGTCGAAAACAAAATTTTCTACGCTGTTCACGCCTTTTTCTCATAGCTGAATGTGGGAATATTTTGTTTATTGAAGAACATTGAAAATGACTAGGCCTAATGAGTGTATCTCGATGTAGCCCTAGAAGCTCCTTAGCCTTTGTTGTATATCATAGTTAAACGTCGAACAACTGTGAATATTAGATGTTGTCCAGTGAGTTGATTTTTGTTGCCGTCATCAAATTTGTTTAACCGTTAGTAAACTAGGATGATCATATTGCTTAGCTCAAAAACATGCATAGTTCCTCAAATGCCCAACAACAGATTATACTTCCTGGTTTTGAAATTAGCTAAGGTCGAAGACCATTACTGTTACCATGTATGTATGGAAATCAAAATGAAACGCTGAAGGGTTACTTTCTCTGGTTTTGGATTTTGTACGATATATCAACACTCAACTATCATAAAACTAGATATTAATATAGAAGCGTAATATTATCAATAACGCAAGGATTAATGCCACAATAATGTTATTTTTCATGAGTAACAAGATTGATAATCTCCGTTTATCAGTATTCGACAAACAAGTTACCGGCATAGTGGATCAGCCACATGTGTGAAAACAATATAAGAATACACACAAAGTATCCTGAAAAACAAAAAACTTTAACAGCTAATTTACATATTTGGGAAACTTTTAAGTCTGCATATATTTACTCAGCAGCTTACCTTTGAGTCATTAAGCTTGCGTCTTTTCTCATCCACAACTGAACCTCCTGTAGGATTTGAGTTACTGTGCGCCGAATTCCCACCGGGCGTAGTTGGAGTTGTTGGAGGGGGAAGTAACAAAGGATTGGTTAATGCAGATAAGCCAGAATGAGGAAGGCCAGCGAAATTAGAAGATCCTAACTGCACGCCACTCGAGTTGTTTTGTCGGCCCCCGGTATCATCCGTGGATGAACTTCGACAAGGTTGTTGAGAAATAGGTGGTACTGATGAGAGAGATCTACCGGTATCTGTACCCCCTACGCCTGCGCTAAGTGGGAATGCACCAGGAAAACCAGGGAACTCACCGCAACTGCCTAACAAACCAGTGATGGGGTTTGGTGGTGGAGGAACTAGGCATGGACCGTTGCCGGATGAGCGACTGGATAGCAGAAAACTACCTGCTGCCGCCGCTGCTGCAGCAGCAGTAGCAGCACGCTACGTATGCAAAATCAATAAATAAATATAATAAGTGATTAAACGGAAATCACTTACAAGTTATAAGAAAATACACTATTGCGAGCTGGGTTATATAGTTACCTGAAGCCCCTAACGATCACACCCTGAAGCTGCTTTCAGGTTGATTCAAACGATAAAACTTAAAATCGGACAAGTACTGAGCGCAAAAGCACTACTTCAATCTAATACCCACCAAATTCCGAAATTCCCTACAGGTCAAAAATCACCAACTTTATCTCAAAATATTCACTAAACATTTTATGCTACTCATAAAACGAATTGCATTAATTGCTGGCCAAACGAGAGAACAAGGGCCGGTGGTTTGTTAGTATCGACTCAACTTCCGACCAACAGTACACGGATATGAACCCTATGCTGTTTGCTGACGTCTACGGTCCGTTAGCAACAACTCTTAAACAATGGGGACACCCCATCATTAGGTACAGGTAACTACTCGTTTACCGTGGTATAACTAGTCGTCAGCATGATAGGCGGTACAGGTTGACTAATCACTCGTCTCCGTTCAATATGAGGAATACATTTTAACAGTTGAGGCAAATACTGTCTATAAATAATCGTATGTAGTCACTCCTACAATACAAAATGTACCATTGTTATGCATTTCCCCGAAATGTTCTATTGAGAGAACACAACTGCAACTTGAAGGTGGATATGGTAACATTAAAAGCCCACGTCTTAAAAACGTGAACACAATTACGGCACTTTCAGATATACAATTTCTCACTGTTCAACTATTCAATTAAGATGAAATGGAGCTGTTACAGAAAAAAATCTAACCCGTACTCCGCCCAAGACCTGTTGAGATAGCATAACTTGGTTTAAATGACAACTGGGCTATATGGATTTCAATATGACCTGTTAAAGACCACCTTTACAGATGATATCATTTAATATATACCTTGCATTTCGCTATCTACTGATGATGTAAGCGAGGCTTTATGCCGCTCTTGTATAAGTATCCACTACTTTGGAGATGACAGCATTGAATGGGGAATTAAAGGAAAATTTGGGGAAAAAGATTATGGTTTACCAGTTACGGCTCACCATAATGCATCTATAGAAAGCTTTTACGTGGTGTTTCCATCAGAATTCACCATCTTCAATGAGACGTTTAATACGTCTCAAAAAGGATATATATATATATATAATTCATAACTGATACAGCCACCAATTCACTGTTGGTAGGATGGTGCTGATAATTCACGCCATCGAAATGGGAGATTTTTCGTTAATAGTGGCGTACACTACTTCGGAACTAAGCGTCGTCCCGTCAGAATACCTCAAACGGTATATCAATGTGTGTAAAAGTGACTGACTAGTTTTAGCATAGAACTTTGCACAGAAGCGCAGCTGTTCGGGTTCTCATACTCCGTATAGCAAACAAAGAGGCAAAAAGAGAGATTCCAAAGCAGGAATGTAAGGGAGAAAGAATAATAACACGGAAAAATTGGGTTTGTTTTGGATGTGGCAGACCTCAGAGAATGAATTCATCTGCGCCATTGAAAAGCGAGTACTTCTTTAATGAGGAAATGGTTGCCCTTGGCTAGATTTTTCACCGCTATGCTCTTCTGTAATTCCGATATAAAATCGATATGACTTCAATGGCTGGACAGTGTGGTGAATGGGTAAATCACTAGTTCTTATTCCCCATACAGCGACAGATACCGAAACACAGGACATGGAAAAATACTTCTTAAATGCTATAATCTGGTCTGCAAAAGTTCTGTCATAATAATTTGAATAAGTTTTGTTGTTTGAGTTAATGATTGTTAATTAGATGCTTTCTGTTTAGTGTCTCACCTCAGACTGATGGTTGGCCCGGGTGCTTTAACTTGCAACTCCATCTAGCAATGTCAATATTTTGGAATCACCCTATCCAATGTAAACAAAACTGTGCAACTTAAGAGTTTCCGAAATCTGCAACAGACGAGCTACTTTGTATTTTGCTATTATGACTAGGTCACAGTCTTACGACAGAAGTCAGAAATATAGTCATTCACTGTAGCTGACATTTTCCCGCACACGATTTCCTTCAATAATGATCTCGACCACTTTAGCCTTAGCTAAGTATGCGTTAAGGAACGAGCATGGGGTATTCAAAATAGGTGACAAATCCTTGGGGCCCGTTGCCTTTACGAAGTGAAACACAACAAAAAGGGGACTTACTTGTTTCTCCTCATTAGTCATTAACTTTTCCGCTTCACGTCCTAGGGGAGAAATCCTTGAACTAGAAGACTGAAGCATTAGAGCTCCTGGTCCTACAGACGCGCCGGCAGCAGACATCAAACCATTCAACAATGCAGCTGATACTGAAGGGTTACCAGACGGGGAAAGAGAAGGAAGTAAACCTGACGTTTGTGCATTAATTGACGCAGACTGAAGAGACCCAGGAGTGCTAGACGATGTGTTGCCAGCTGAATGGCCTGAAGACATATTAGAACCATGTAATCCGGAAACCCCATGGTTAGCTCCTCCCATAACAGACAACTGCTACAAAACAATATTAATTATGACCGAAAATACCTTGTAGGCCTCAAATTGTTCTAAAGGGAGACCCATGCTATTACCATTGAAAAACTTCGAGGACTTTACGTCCTCAATTTGTGCCTAGGTGATAAATAAAATATGAAGACTCTAGAACATACAGCCAAAACGGAGTTTAATTCTTGCATTGTAACTTGTTTTGCTCTTTCAACAGCTGACAGAACTTGAGATTGATGCTGAGAAGATAAGGTACCATTAAGAAACACCTACCTCCTGCGACAGGAATGGTAGCACTTGAGTAAGTATAGCACTTAACCTTTTTGCTATTTCCATCTAGCAAGAGTTTAAAAGTATATAATGAGATACCTGTCTGTGCATTTCTAAATTCAAACCATTGGCCATTTCATAATACATCACACAAATTCTCTGTATATCTGATCGCTCACTGATAAGCTTTTCCCTCTCGAGTTGCAGTCTAAAAGCTAGTCATTTAAATAAAGATTCGTACGAGTGATTTTGCTGCTGCATACAAGTAAATTCCTCCTTTATTCTATCACAAGTCTCCACAACAGTGAACTTGCATGCACCGCCTGGCCCAGTGGGCACCTATAAAAAATTTGTGTAAGACATGAATCCCCAATGATAAAAACACCTGTGTGACAAAACTCACAGGTGGTCTGCTGGGAAACATCAGGTTTAGGGGAGCAACAGCAACTCGATAGCAAAACACCCACAACTACAAGAGATCCAAACACAGGCTGAAAAGTGAATTTAAACAAGACGTCTGAAATCTGTTTCAATCTTCAATGCCTCATGCGACTGCATAAAAAATCTTGTTAAACCTATTCACCCAGTCACTAAATTATTCGTGTTCTTATGGTTTGTCCTGCTTCAGTTACACCAGACGAGAAATCTTGAATATGTGAAAATTTTAAAAACGTACTAGGTACCTTCAGTTGGTGAAGCTTCCATTCGCCCGTCTTTCGAGTTTTTGGAAAGTGAGCTACTATAAGGTGTCCATGATAACGTTGGCGTTTGGCAAGAATACGGACAACAGGACAAAGGAATCAGCGACATGAACCAAGACTACTGCAGTGGACTAATCAGAATCAGCATACCATTACTTCGATAGAGGTGCAGATGAAATGCAGTCGTGGATATCAGGAAAACTTAAAAATGCACTTGATGAAAGTTACAAAGACTCCACGAAATTGCAAACAAAGGTGCAGAAGCATCAGAATTTCGAGGCAGAAATACAAGCGAACCAATCCCGCGTCGAAGATATTAAAAAGACAGGTCAGACTCCTTGGTTGATACAAGAGCTGCATTCAGTATCATACCAAAAGTAAACCTGAGCCGGGACCACAATAAGCCCGTCACACTACGGGCCACCAATGAAACCAGGTCGTGGCGTTTGAGCAAAAATCACTGACACATGACCTCGAGTTTAAGCGACAACTGCCATGGGTGTTTAGTGTTGCTGACTTAGTCCTAGCAATCATTGGCATCCACTTCCTGGAAATATATGACTTATTAGTTGACGCTCGTAGGAGACTCTTAACAATGTTATACAAATGGCAAACCGAGCGAACACCATTCGTTTAATATAGTCCTATCTCCGTCGGTATCAACCTAAAGGTTCCGGAAAGTATTAGCTGATATATACATATATATATAAATATATATATGATCATTGATTTCCCGCATCTGCGTGATTATCGATTTTAATTATTGAATTCCCATGGTTTGTTAATATTTTTAAAATGTGACATTGATTTTCCTAACTGTATAAATACGGAGTTTTTGTTTAACATTTCGACTGCTGTTAGAGACAGTAAAAGCTCTCGTATCAACGTCCAGTCTTCTTTCTTTGCCTTGCGTGCCCGGCGGTATTGCTGTTGTTGTTGACGTGCGATTAGGACAGATTAGCCAGCGCATTAGTTAGATTCGCTCGTAGTCTACAAGGTCCTAATATCTCATACATAACATTAGCGGAGTTCCTAACTCTGACGGCAACCGACTCTCAACCTTCTAAGGTTGGCCAGAAAATTACACAAACTATAAAAACCCATGGCCTCTCTATACCCGACAGGACTGGCCCAGCACACGCTGAAATAGCGAAGGCTAAATATGACTTCACCCTTCATTTGGGGATTACTTGGCATACGAGCAGTCAGTTGCCTCCGTCGTTATACATGGTACGTAAGGAAAATCAGGCTGATTAGAGCCTTTGTGGTGATTGCAAGGCTATAAATAAGCAAATAGTCCCAGACAGTTGCCCAATACCGCACACTCAGGCAGTTACTAATAGCCTTCTAGGTGCCATAATATTTAATGGAATTGACTTAGTTCGCTCCTATCCGAATATCTCTGAGGCTGAGGACGATATAACTAAAACAGGAATTACCATTTCCTATGGATTATATGAGTGTGTGAACGCCACTTGCTCACAGGAATGATGCAACAAGAATCTAAAACTTTATGAATGATTGTTTCGTGAATTGCCGTTCGCCAAAGCATACACAGATAAGAAACTAATCGATGGCCAGGATATACTAGTGTGATTCCGATCGGACGTTACAATCTCTCCCAACAACGTGGATATATTCTTACCGATTTCTGGCATACTGTAGTGGATATTATACCACTCCTCAGCTATAACTTCTATTGGCCTCTACCTCAGCTTCCAGTTATCCAGATATATCACCACCAGCTATCAAGTTTAGATTCACTCTTTCACAGGGCTCATCCTCCTTTTTTAAACTTAAGAACAACCTAGCACAAAAGGAAACTATAAAGAAGTTCATTATTTTGTGGTTTACAAGTCAGGATCAATTTGCAGGATAATTGATCTCTATATAGTCTGTATTTTCACGGTTACATACTTTTGTCTATTTGTTGTTTATTTATAAGCAATAAAATTCCATACGGTGCCTATAGTAGTTCTTAGTCTGCATATCCACTCGATATACTATTTGCGCACATATCTGGTTTCGTTTTTACTCAGTTCCTACTTGAAACCATACTGATCAGTGTGTAACAATGGCACAGCGTAATAAATGAGTACTTTCTATGCGTAAGAATAGCTTAGGTCACTTGGCTAAGAAGATACGTACATCACAACACGTTACACGTAGCCACGAAAATGTCCTTGAAGTCATCGTGCCCAAATTGCTTTCAGAGATATACGCAACTGCTAAACAAAATAAGTTGGACCTTATATCTCTAGGAAATTCTGTGAAGAAATTCCGTGAGGATATAAATACCATTAAGCCGTTACCGCTCTTTGTAACCCAACTCACGATACCGATTCGGATGGTCTGCTGAAGTTTGAGCGTATGTTAGACTTCATAGCGAATGAAGTAACTAAACGAATCATGTCTTCCTACAACGTCCTCGCATACAATCTGCCTGATCGAATGTCTCTAGACAAAGTCAAACTGACATGTCTCCAAGCGTGCAGCATGCCATCAGCAAATTACCACCTGATCAGACTCATGAAAAGTCAGGAAAGTATACTTGTACTGTGCTGTTCAAATTCAGTAATCCTATTGACGCTGGGAAATTCTAGTCGTTTAACAAGCTTATTATTTCATCTATACCTTATAGTAACGTTAAACTTGCTCATGACCTAACGTCATGTCGAAGACGCAGCCGTGCAAGTGTATCAAGTGTCGCAAATATCTACCTAACCACAGAATGTCCTACAAGAGATTCTATCGCCTTACATTCAAGTAAACCTAGTGCTCCAGACGCGCATTACAATAAAATACCCTTGAATAATAGCGCCTTTCCTAGTAAACCCAACAATAAAGCAACTACGGTCATAGACTTAGATGCATCTTTAGAGTTATGCTTGCTAGACACATCATCACCATCAGCTACTAATGCTACTACCAATGTTACGCAAAAGGCTAAGCTCGAGCATGTAGCATGAAATATAACGTCCACGAGTAGCACTCAGACTAGTGTGTATACAAAACGAAGTAACGTAACCCTACCAACCAGAATACCCGTACTCAAACCCGTTAGTAATTGCTTTTTCAGCAGCAACTGGATAACCCTAACCTAAGCGACTCCAATCCTACCATTAACCCAGGGAAGCTGAATAAGTCTTCATACTGCCATAAATAGGACGTCAATAGAAAGAGAGGTAACCCGTCGATTCGTCCAACACTGAACAAATCTTCATCCGATAGACATAACAGACGCTATCTCTCTGGGCACCCTAAAACTAAGCCGAAAGCCTACCGGCAGGCATACACCTACTCCGAAACAGCTCTCCTATCTATGGCTAATATAGACGAGAGTGTAATCCAGGGACCTCTACAACAAGGAACAAGTGGGTTAAGCTTGCTTCCTAAAGGTAGCCTTCTGACTCACCACATCCTCGAAAACCACCGGATACAGACTACCCAAGATCACCGATGGACTAATATTTACAAAATAACTTAAGCACACAAGATATTAGTCATAGCTGCGACGCACGTGACTTTACTCCAGCATACCACCCACAAGAAATACCTACCTCCCGTTCATCCGATCTGAATTTTCTCAGCCAACACGAAATTTCAGCCTCAATATTAACGCAAATAGCACACATACTGTCGAGCCACTTGTCTCCAGAAGGGAGGGTGATACGTTGCAGTCACGGTATTATGAACACTTCACACCCGCCAAGATAAACATCGATAGCGCCTCTCTCTGTACTGATACTGGTGTAGTACACTATTCCAGCACTGCCACTAAGTTGCCACCATCTGAGCTAGTACCCATCAAACAATCTACTCCAGACGCTACAAACCTTGAGGATAACGTTTTCAAAGTCACATGCGATTTCACCGTCATTCCTAACTCTCTCATTCTCTCGTCAATGCTCGCTCCTTGCTCAACAAAAGGTTTGACTACATGGCATTATCATTAGTTTGCAACCCGTCTCCCATAATGACTACTGAAACATGGTGCACTCCTAAGATTTGCGATAAAGATATTTCTATTGATAACTACTACGTATTCAGAGGTGACAGAAACTAAGGCAGAGGGGGAGGATGTGCTATGTATATTGGGTCTGATATTAAGGCAACACAGTGCTTCTACCCAGAGCTCATCACATATAACGACTCAGTCTGGGCTATTCTAAGGCCGTCTCACTCCAATTCCTATCTTATAGGTTGCATGTGTCATCCCCCATGCTCAGCTGTTGAAGGTGATATGAAGCTTGCTAGCACGTTCGCTTACACTACTTCACTACCTCACACGGCTAAAATTATATGTGGGGACTTTAATGTGCCTGATGTAGTCTGGCAGCCACTTTGCTCACCGAAACGGTACAGTGAATTTTTGAACGTAGTAGAAACGAAAGACTGGCAGCAACACGTAAAACATCCTACCAGGCTATCCGAGATTTTAGATCTAGTTTTCACTAATGATATCATCTCCACTACCCTTCGAGTAGGTAAAGAGTTTCCTGGCAGCGATCACAGAGTAGTATTTGGTACATTCAATATTTACACCAGCATGAGTTCAACAATAAGCGCCAACAAAGTATTACTCAGGGGTTACAGATACGCTCAGTGGGATGTCCTGAAACCATACCTACCCACTCTAGACTGGGAGCCATACTTTACATCCAGCTTGGCTATAGAAACAAACAACTTACTCTATGAGAACCCAGGATTTGCACATGACCTC